GGACAGAATAGTTTGCGGCATTAGAGACAAAAAGGTTTCGGAACGTTTGCAACTTGAAACGGAACTAACTCTGGAGAAAGCAATAAACACTGCGAGACAGGCTGAAACAGTGAAAAAGCAACAAGAAGCTTTTAAGAACAATTCCAGGAATAACATATATGCATTACACAAAACTGCAGGTAGGAAGAACGTAATTTCAAAGCCGGAAGCTACTGACGATTCGTTTACCGGAAACAAAACTGTAAATTCCTGTTATATTTCACCGGTTTTCCAAACTGGTGAAATATACTAAATTCAATTGCCCTGCATGTAAGACGATCTGTAAGTGCAAAAAAGTAGGTCATTATGCAAATGTCTGTACAGCTAAAGTGAGTATAAATGAAATAGGAGAACCTAATCAAAGTTCATTTCTAGGACATGTTAAAGGGTCAAGTAATATAAACAATAGTGTTAAGAAACAGCTTAACCAGTGGAATGCAAACATTTTCGTGGAAGACATTCCTTTAAACTTCAAGATTGACACAGGGGCAGTTGTCACAGTTATACCGCACGAGACATATAACAGAGTGCTATCTCGTGTTAAATTATGAGAAACGAATAGATCTATACACGGCCCTGGTAAAAAAAATTCTGGATATTGTGGGAGTGTTTACGGAAAAGCTAAGAAATAAGAGATTCCGCATTCAAGAAGACATATATATTATAGATAAACTAGAACACGCCTTGTTGAGCGGTAAAGTGAGTGAACAGTTAAATCTTGTGAAAAGAATACAGGAACTAAACTCTACTTTCGATCCATTTAAAGAATTCCCTAATCTGTTTCAAGGGATTGGAAAAATTCAGAAACACTATCACATTAAACTTAAACTGGAAGCAAAGCCTTACGCTCTGGCAGTTCCTCGAAAAGTACCATTGCCCTTGAGAGATAAGCTTAAGAAAACTCTGGACGAGATGGTAAATAAGGGAATAATTGAGGCAGTAGACGAACCTGCAGAATGGTGTGTTCCAATGGTTTTGGTTCCAAAGAAATCAGGCGAAATAAGAATTTGCGTCGATCTATCTAAATTGAATGAGAGCATTGAGAGAGAATACTTTCGAATGGCGTCAGTCGACTATACACTCAGCCAATTTCATAACGCAAAAATCTTTAGTATTATTTATGCTAATGCAGGGTTTTGGCAGATTGCATTAGATCCTGAATCATCTTACTTGACAGCATTTATAACACCCTTTGGGAGGTTCAGATTTAAACGGTTGCCATTTGGAATTAAGTTGGCGCCTGAAATATTTCAGAAAAGAATACGTGAAACAATACCAGAGGGCCCTGGAATTGTAGGACTAATGGATGAATTCGTGATATTTGGGACCACAGAAGAACATGATAAACGTCTGCATGAAGTTCTTTGTACACTTCAAAATGCAGGATGGACTTTAAATGCTGGAAAATGTCAGTTCAGAATGAAAGAAGTCAACTTTCTCGGACATGTAATCTTGCATGAAGGTATAAAATCTGATCCCAAGAAAACAGAAGCAATAGCGAAGCTCCCAAGACCTAGCTCTGTCACAGAGCTGAAAAGATTTTTGGGCATGAGTGGATTCCTAAACAAATTTATATCAAGGATGGCTGATGTTGCAAACCCTCTGTATGAACTGTTAAAGAGCAACGTAGAATGGTTATGGAGGCCAGCACAGGAAACATCGTTCCAAGAGATCAAGAATCAGCTATGTCAAACTCCAGGATTATCAAGGTATGATCCAAAGAAAGAAACATATATTTCCTGTGACGCATCATCTTACGGTCTTGGCGCTGTGTTGTATCAGAGTAAAAGTGGTCACATGTCTCCAGTTTGCTACGCATCTAGGACATTGTCAGATACCAAGAAACGGTATGCACAAATTGAGAAGGAGGCTTTGGCAATTGTTTGGGCTTGTGAGAGATTCCACGACTACATAATGGGCAAAGTCGTGAATATTGAAACAGACCACAAACTACTGATATGAATTTTCATGTCAAAGGCTTTGGACAGTCTAAATCCAAGACTGCAATGAATGAAGCTACAAATGATGAGATACGATTATAGCATCGTGTACAAACAGGGAAAGCAGCTTATAATTGCAGATGCATTATCCCGTAGCCCCATACCCGAACAGGGAAATGAATTGACCAAGGAGATTGAGGCTTACGTTCAAAATATTATCGAACCCTTTCCTGCATCTGATAAACGGTTATCGGAAATCGTGTATTTACAAGAGAGAGATCCAATTTGCAAAACGTTGATGAGATACTGCGAAGAGGGTTGGCCGAAGAAAAACAAAATACCTGAGAAAATAAGAAGATATTGGGAGCACAGAAACTCAATTACTCTCCAAAATAAGATTTTATTTAAAATGCCAGGATTGTAATTCCAGAAAAGCTTCAAGGAGAAATATTGATCAGGTTACATGAAGGCCATCTTGGAATAACAGTGTTGAGCCCAAGCTCAAGAGTCTGTTTGGTGGCCAGGCTTATCGATGAACATTGAGAAATTGATTTCAAACTGCTCAATATGCATCCAGTACCAAAAGTATCATAAAGAGCCTCTCATCCCAAGTGAATTTCCTGAGAGACCTTGGCAAATTGTAGGGGTAGATCTTCTAAAACTAAAAAGCCATTGGTATCTCATAATGGTGACTACTTTTCAAGATATTTTGAAGTTGCCAGATTGGAGGAATTGTCGTCGTCGTCGTCAGTAATTAAACCACAAGAAATCAATTTTCGCAAGACATGGAATTCCAGAGGTTGTACGAAGTGACAATGGCACCCAATTTTCCCAGGTTGTCGACTCGGAATACCGTAAATTTGCAGAAAAGTATAAATTTTCAAGTATAACTTCTAGTCCAAGATACCCTCAAAGCAATGGATTCATTGAATCAATGGTCAAAAATTTCAAAAGTCATTACTTGAAGTCTGAGTCGCAGGATCATTATTTGATGCTTCTAGCAATGAGATCTACACCATTAGAGAATAGCTATAGTCAGGCAGAACTACTAATGAGCCGAAGATTGAGAACACCCCTGCCATCAAGTAATCACCAATTGATACCTCGTTTGATTGATTTCGCTTCAGTAAGAAAGAAGGAAAAGGGGAAGGCAGATAAACAGAAAACCTATTTTGATGACGCCACGGTGTAAAAACTCTTTCACGTTTGAAGATAGGACAGCCAGTCTGGGTATCAGATATGCGAACATATGGAAAGGTGAAGGAGGCTCACCATACTCCATGATCTTACATTATCGAAACTCCGAGAGGCACGTTTCGTAGGAACAGAATACATTTACACCCATCGTCTATTCCCCAGACAGTCTCCCAGGAAGACGAACCGCAGATCGTCGATGAGGAGAAATCGACTGGATCATCCAACCAGAATACTCCCGAGGAAGAAACTCCCAGGACGGAAAATGGAACAGAATCCGGGAATAGGGAACTTTATGAACCAATGCTAGAAATCAAACAAAACTCTCCATCGGGTGAAGAGGACCTTCCTAAAACCCGTAGTGGCAGACCTATACAAATCCCAAGACAGTATCTGGATTACCAGCAGTAACAGAGAATGGGGAGATGTAATATATGTTGATGATTTAGATAAACATTAAATGTAATGTAATATATGTTGACGATTTAAACAAAGGAAATGTAATCGAGTAGGTACCAAGGTGGCGAGACGGAAAGGGAGCGAGAGAACTCGAAGGAACCAGCTGGATGTAGAAGTGTTTAGTTATATTAATAGAGTTATTCGTACCATATTATCTGGTCAGTTGAGTCGTTTATAATACACAAATCATAATCAATGAAGCAAATGATGATTACAAAAACACAAGTTACAACATCAATGTAAAAACATCCACATTCTATACTAGAAAATTTAATATGCAAGTATGATCTTTTCAATAATTTGTATGAAACATTTTTTATGCATTTAAATTCCAAAGATATATAAAATGCAATAGTACACCTTTCCCTGGATTAAATTTCATCTCCGAGAGGTTTTTATCTTTTGTTACTCTATCAAATTGCATCATTGGTGAGAAAACTTTATCTTGTTACTTTGTTTCAATCTATAATAAAATCTTATTAATCTCTTTTTAAATAAAAAGGAAAACCTTGATATCTACAAGTCTCACACAGGATTGCATAGTAAGGTTCTGATTTGTACCAAACAACTTATGAAGAAATATTATATGGTATAACTTAGTTTTAATACATACAATAAATTGACATCTCAAATACAGCTGGCATAACATATAGATGAATTGATTAATGAATTGTGTAGTTCTTATCTGAACATTGCTGCTTTAACCTGTGTGTCTATAGCTTCTGGAAGAAGAATGCTGCATTATGTCCAGCCTGCAAGTATCCTGACGGTGTCTGGAACCACATCTTGGACTGTTTGATGTTGTTGGGCATTAGACAGACTCTTAGCTTAGTTTCTGATTTGCAAAGCCTACAGACTCTGTTTCTGTACACTTTGCAAATCTCTAATACCTTAAGATTTTGAGAGATGGAAGTCCTCTGGCTGGATGTATAAGTCAAGTCTTATGCAGATGTACTGTACTTGGATCTGATGTGTGGCCAAGAGGAATAAAGCAGTGGTGTTGTGTCCTTTATAGAAGTTAGGTTTAACTTCAACCATTGTCATATAGCAGGGATGCTCATACTTTTTGTTGTAAGAGCCCTAGTTACCTATCTAAAAATATTGAGAGCTGCACTTAATGTTCTTGGAATAAAAATAAAAATTTCAGAATCATAATGTATTTGTTTTGACAATTTTTATATATTACATTTTTTTTTCATTTACTCTTTGCTAGTTGAAGATTTATGAATTTGTAATGTTTGTAATTTTAAAAAATAACAATACAGTGGAACCTCGGTATACGACCTTAATCCGTTCCTGGTGTTTGGACTTATACCGAATAGGACGTATACCAAACCAACCTTTTCCATAAGAAGTAATGTAAAAATNATGGTGAAAAATTTCAAAAGTCATTACTTGAAATCTGAGTCGCAGGATCATTATTTGATGCTTCTAGCAATGAGATCTACGCCATTAGAGAATGGCTATAGTCCGGCAGAACTGCTAATGAGCCAAAGATTGAGAACACCCTTGCCATCAAATAATCACCAATTGATACCTCGTTTGATTGATTTCGCTTCCGTAAGAAAGAAGGAAAAAGGGAAGACAGATAAACAGAAAACTTATTTTGATCGACGCCACGGTGTAAAAACTCTTCCACGGTTGAAGATAGGACAGCCAGTCTGGGTGTCAGATATGCGAACATATGGAAAGGTGAAGGAGGCTCACCATACTCCACGATCTTACATTATCGAAACCCCGAGAGGCACGTTCCACAGGAACAGAATACATTTACACCCATCGTCTATTCCCCAGACAGTCTCCCTGGAAGACGAACCGCAGATCGTCGATGAGGAGAAATCGACTGGATCATCCAACCAGAATACTCCCGAAGAAGAAACTCCCAGGACGGAAAATGGAACAGGATCCGGGAATAGGGAACTTTATGAACCAACGCTAGAAATCAAACAAAACTCTCCACCGGGTGAAGAGGACCTTCCTAAAACACGTAGTGGCAGACATATGAATCCCAAGATGGTATCTGGATTACCAGCCGTAAAAGAGAAGGGGGAGATGTAATATATGTTGATGATTTAGATAAACATTAAATGTAATATAATATATGTTGACAATTTAAAACAAAGGCAATGTAATCAGGAGGTGGCGGGCCAGAAAAGAGCGAGAGAGCTCGAGGTAACCAGCTGGGTAGAAGTGTTTAGTTGTATTAATAAAGAGTTATTTGTACCATATTATCTGGTCAGTTGAGTCGTTTATAATACAGATGGCCATGGTCCAAATGCCATCAATTTGGAGGCCATTTGGCCTCAAATAATGTAATCTAAATGAATTATGTTAATCTGAAATAGTTTTTTAACTTTCAGAAATAGATCATGAAGATCATATTAAAGGTATTTTGAAAAAAAGAAATGATAAATCAGTCATTGTTAATAAAGAAAATGTTGGACCATCTCAAAGTATTGGTATGTATTACTTTGATAAAATTTATATTTTCAATATAACAAATTTTTAAAATTTAGAAATACATAAAACCATTAGTGAAATTCTTTAAGACAGCAATTTTTTTAGTTAAAATGAGATAAATTGTACTTCTTGTAAAAATGATGCATGTTAAACAAAACTAGTGTATTTTTTTTACAGGTATTTGACAGAATGTATATATTTATATACATTCTGTCAAATAAATACTGGGAATTGTTAAACAAAATACAAAATATTGGTTTAATCATCCAAATTTATTGTGTCGCCTTCAAAATAGGTCCCATTTGATGCAAGACACTTCTGCCAACGAACAATGCAGTCATCAAAACACTTCTTATAAGTGCTTTCCAGTATGGTATGCTGCTCCCTCTGTGAATTTTGTTTTATTTCGTCAATCAACTCAAAACAGTTTCCACAAAGTGCTAATTTGAGTTTGGGGTAGAGGAAAAAGTCACACAGGGCCATATCTGGTGAATAAAGTGCTTGGTCGATGACATATCCTTATCAGTAGAAAGATGAAATATTCTTATCAGTAGTGTGGCAAACCTGGTATATGACACATGTTGAGATGAAAGTTAGGCTCACAACGGTGCATGTGCAAATGATGACGACGATTGCACAGGTTTCCAACAATATTCCATTTCAGAATTCTTTCAAAAAAGATCAGCTCAATCGAATGTAAATTGGTTTGCCCGTTTTTACACCTGAAGAAGAACCAGAGGTTCGAAAATGTTAGTGAAAGACGTAACAGTTGAATTAAGCACTGGTTTTGGTTTATGTTGGAAGTAAGTTTTAGACATTCTTTGTGTTAAAACTTTGCCTACAAGTGTTGATGTGTGAGATGGTATGTTATCGTGATGAAACATCCAAGAATTGTTATTCCACAAATCTGGCCTTTTCTGGCAAACATTCTCTCTCAAATGCCTCATAATACCCAGATAATATTGTTTGTTGACTGTTTATCTCTCTGGAAGAAATTCTGAGTAGACAACACTGTGGCAGTCAAAGAAAATAGTCAACATGACTTTGATTTTTGAGCGACTTTGACATGGTTTTTTCAGATTTGGCTCATTCTCAAAGTGCCATTCCAAAGCTTGTTGGCTGGTTTGCATGTCAAACTCATAAACCCATGTCTTGTCACCTGTTTTGATGTGTTTCATGAATGTAGGGTCTGAATTGGCTTATTTAAGCATGTTTCAGCAACCTTTTTCCAGTACTCTTTTTGAAGAAAATTCAACTTCTTCAGAACAAGTCATGCTGTGACACGTCTCATGCCCAAAACATCGACTAAAAAGGTGCAAACAGATTCTTGAGACATGTTTAGGTTATGAGCCATCTCTCTCAAGCTTGAATGACCATTTTCCATTACCATTTTCTTCACTTTGTCGATGTTTTTTTCAGTTGAAGATGTTGAAGGTCAACCAGAATGAGGCAAGTTCCACCACTTCTTGGCCATTTTTAAATGCTTTGTACCACTCGTATGTATGTGTTTTGGATAAAGCTGACTCACTGTAGGCCTTCTGCAACATTTTCAATGACTCAGCACAACAAATTTCGTTGGCAACACAAAATCTTAGACAAACTATTTGTTCAATATTTTTGTCCATTTTAAAAATTGCAAAGCACACTTCACATTCAATGACAATAACTAACAGGTGTAAATAAACTGGTTGACAGATGACGCTACAAATTCATGTGAACATTAAGTACACTAGTGCCAACTTACAGCAAAAAGTTTGTTTTCATATCTTTTACTGATTTTTAAAGTGGACAATTCCCAGTATTTATTTTACAGAATGTATATAAATGTAAATGATGATATTTGATGATTGTATGCATTTTTAAATAGAATATTACACTTATTCTTTAAAGTTGGTAAATGTTTATACCTAAATAAATTTTAACAGATTTAACATAATTATATTATAAGTTATAACATCAGAAAAAATTATTCAAAACAACATAAATTAGACTAAATGTTAATGAAGGAATGCCAGTGTTTGTATAATTATCTTTTTCTAACCTGTTACCGGTGCGTCTACTTGTGTTACCTGTTAGAAAGAGATAATTATATTACTATTCTCCGGTGTTGTGGTAAAGATGTGTTGCCAGTGTTTGGATACTGTATTGGTAAACACCTATATCTGAATGCTGATATTTCTTTGATGGATTCTTAATGTTTAAGTTTAAACCTGATGAAGAGCTGTAAACCAGCTTGAAAACATAACAACATATACATAAACCTGATTCAAATTGATGATGCCAAATAAATTGGAATATAAATCAAGCTGTAGCAAGGCTAATTTAATGATTAGATATAAGCGGTTTGTCCATAGGAAGGTTGTTTGGTTGCCATCTAATGATAAATTTAATTTTTAGATTAAACTCAGAAAATTCTAGAAGAAAGGATTGGACTGGAGTGGGACTTGAACCTCCAACTCCTCCTTATTGTGCAGAGGTATTGCCAGTTACACTTCCTAGACCCCTATCTAATCTTTGTTTCTAGAGTATTAATTACTTAACAAATTTTAGATTGAGATTCATGTCATTGACTGACTATACTGTATACACAGGAATCAGATTTACTAATTTTCAGGGGTTGATTTCTCTATCCCCAAATGCCTAAAGTACAGTAATTCTGAATATCTCACTCAAAATATAATGGTTTTCTTAAGTACTGTGCAAAATTTCAGGTTTTTGTATAAATAGGTTGCTGAAATATGAGCAATTGAAAGTGTAAAAATTGCCAAAAAACTATTTTCTTTTTCTTCTTCTTCATTCAACACTGCAGACACTCCTAGAGAAAAACTAATGCATCTAGAAAGCTCAAATTTTAAACTTAAGTCTTTCTCGTTATCAGTGAGATGCTTGCAAAACTTTTGGGTTGATAGGTTGAAGTTCACAGAATTCCTCTTACAAGGGAACTGTCGGAGTGTCTTCTAATAAATTTTAATAAAATTTAGTTAATAACTATGTTAAAAGTATACAAACTCTATTTTAAATTTGTAGCATTCACTAAAAGTGTTGATCAGAGTTATTAGCAATCAAATGTTGCACTACTTTATAGTAGTTTAGCACAATTATGCAAATTTTTAGAAATGAAAGGGTCGCGGAGGAAGACGGCGATATTACACTTAGAATAAATTCTGGAATTTTCAAAAATGGTTGAAGAATTAATAAAATTTTGTATACTTTTAATATAATTATTAACTAAATTTTATTATTTCATGATGAACTCAGGATATTTTTCTTCTAATTATCAATTAGAGTTCAGACTATGTACAAATTTTATGATTTTATGATTTTAATTGATAATAAATTTTATTAATTCTTCAACCATTTTTGAAAATTCCAGAATTTATTCTAAGTGTAATATAGCCGTCTTCCTCCACGACCCTTTCACTTCTAAAAATTTGCGTAATTGTGTTAAACTACTATAAAGTAGTGCAACATTTGATTACTAATAACTCTGATCAACACTTTTAGTGAATGCTACAAATTTAAAATAGAGTTTGTATACTTTTAACGTAGTTATTAACTAAATTTTATTAAAATTTATTAGAAGACACTCCGACAGTTCCCTTGTTAGAGCGATTTTACATTTATTGCTTAATTTCATGTGCTTATAAGGATAAAATTGCATCAAAATGAATGATTTTCATTAAAAACTTATCTAGAATAACAAAAGCTCAAATTTTTGCAAACTGAAACTTTTATAATGATTTTACTAACAGCATATTGAAAGTGTTTAGTTGGTGGCCATCATCAAGCAACAACTGAACTATGTCATTGTTTTAGATCTTGATGTAATAACACAATCATTAACCAAAAAAACTATTGATATCCAAACAAAAACATTTGAAATGTAAACAATTGTGCCAAGTAAAAAATTATGACAATTTAGATGAGTCAAATTTTTTTTAGGAGTTTTTCTTTGGTAAAGTACTCCAAAAAAGAAATTACTGTATATTCTGGCATATAAGATGACTGGGCGTATAAGACGACCCCCGACTTTTACAGTTAAAATATGGAGTTTGGGATATACTCGCCATATAAGACTATCCCTCTTCCAATGCACACCAAATAAAAATAAAAAAAAATTATCATTGGCATACTCTTTAATGCTCTTTCATGCTCTTTCATTTGCTTTCCAGTCCTGAACATCTTTTCTGTTACTCCATGTATTCTTGCAGCAGCACAGTTATTATGTTCCATGGCAAAGTTTGCAACTAGCTTCATATTTCATTCTTTTTGCTGGTGGAGCCATGATGGGGTTTTGACTGTTGGACATTTTTATACCAGCCCGCCCTTGTATCCTATTACCGTACCTCCTTCTCTGCCTCTCAGATCTCGCACATGTGCGCCTGTGCCGCTTCAGTGCAGTCTTCAGTCTCTGGAGCGAGATCTGAGAGGCAGAAAAAGAGGTACGGTAATAAGATACATACAAGGGCGGGCCGGATGGGTGAAAGATGTGTGTTTTTCTGAGCACAGTGCTGCTCTATCTCTATCCATTCTTGGGCGTCCCAGCCAACTGCAGCACCCACCCTATAATACACCTGGCTTTTGAGAAGATTTTCCTGGATTAAAAAGTCGTCTTATACGCCAGAATATATGGTATTTAAGATAAAATGGTTTATTTTTATATTCAGTATGTGCTTAAGATCACTTACTTAAAGATGCATTTTGATTTATTATAATAAAAAAATTTTAATAAATTATAAATTATTATTTAAATTTCGAAACGATTGAGAAAAATCAAGGCAATATGTTATTTTTAATATACAGGTTAACATTCAAGAATCCAGGTCTGGAGGTTGCTGGATTTTTGAAAATGTCAGATTTTTTATGGTTATATATGCTGTATATATTTAACAGAAAATGACTACCTGTATATAATCTTTTAAAGAAAGAAAATTAAACAGTAAATGAAAAGCAAATGAAATTTTAATGTTCATCAACTAAATAAAACAGTTCTACAGAATTTTAGTAAGAGCCTCCAGAAAACAGTGGTGCGCCAACACAGTAAATTTGAAAATGCGTTATGAAATCCATGCCGGAAATCTGAAGGAACCGTATTATCTATGGCTGGATTTTAGAATGTCAACCTGTATTATCTTGATTTTTTTAGTTTAAAAACAAAGAAGATAAAATTACAAAAATAAAATTTGAATATGATAAAAATTATTTTTTTAAATTTTAGTTTCCAGAAAACAAAGTGAAGAGAGTGTTACTTCATGTGAATATATTACACCACCATCACATTTATCTGCTGAGAATAAATCATTTGAGGATATGCATTCTTCAAATAATCCTGAATGGAAATGTGCTCTATTCAGTATTAATGAAAATGGTAAAGATAAATTTAAATTTAGAAAAGCAAAATAATTATTATATTTTCAAATGTGTGTGTGTGTGGGTATGTATATATATATATATATACACCCACACACCCACACTTACATATATATATGTATGTATGTATGTATGTTAGGCTCAAAGACCAAAATTGCTCATTGAGCGAAAAAATGGCCACAAAGCAAAATTCGTGTCATGGCTTTCATGATATTTGACCACTATGCGTTGTGGTGATTAAGAAAAGCCATAATGCATTCTGAACGTTAGCTGATGCAACCACGATACAGGATCATACGACACACAGTGGTTTGTAACTTTAAAATATGGATTATAGGTTCGAAACATTTTTATTTACAATTTTTAATGCCGAACAACATTAGTTCTACAAGTTTTCCTTGAAATTTAATTTTCATGCTTAAAAAAATTTCAAATAAATAAAATATATGGAGAAAAATACACATTTGTTTCTTTTGTTTTGCTAAAAAGTGCTAAAGGTCTAATTACATATACTTGTAGGTGCTTGATATACTATACATGATAAAATAAAAATCAGCTGCTAAAGTTAAAAACCACTATGCAACATATTTATTGTGGTTAAAAGCCACCACACGTTCTGGATGTTAACTAATAATGAGTGATGATAAGAAAATAAAACTTTCTTTTTCATTATGATTTATTTATCTTCAATCATCCTATATACGCAGGTAACAAAATTATTTACCATATACAGAAATTTAACTTGGTTACTTTACAATAACATTTAATTATTCATGCATTTTTATCAATACAGTATCTTTTACAATGACACATTATAAACTCTTGCTTACTTCCAGATGTTAACATGGATGCTGAGCGAAGTGTTAATAAAGTTGAGGGTGCGTTCTGAATGTTAATAAAATTAATGTAGAAACTGTAAATTCATTACGAGCATAAAGTCAATTAAGAAGACTCCTTGTTTCCTAACTGATAGAGACCTGATGGATTAATGCTCATAACAACAGCTAAAACATTATCAACATTAGGTACCCTAACTAAAACAATTGAACCAATTTCAACTGCAGAAAATTATCCTAAATTGAGAAAACTCTCTGAGCTCGCGCTTGAATAAAAAAATAATAAGATAAACGATTCTATGATGCAGATCCCTGTACTATTATTGTTAAATAATAATTAGAACAATTCTTACTGTTTTTGAAAATTTTAATAACTAAAATGTCTTAGGATTTTTAGGCTTTTTCAGAGGTATTAATTTACATCTGATATGGAGAGTGTCAATGGCTCAATAGCATGAAGGTTGAGAAAAGCGAAATCCTACTCGGGTGTAATATACAGTAATACCTCGGTTTTCATTGACTTTGGTACCTAGCATCAATCTGCATTATTTCTCCAGCTTCTGTTGTCTTATCCTAAAACCCTCCAGTTATAGGTAAAAACAGAATGGTTTTAGGCTAAAACTTTTTCTAGCAAAACTTGTGAGCAATGAATAATAGCATCAGAACACAGCATAGTTTTACCCTAGATTTACCCTAAATATAAGACTACCTGAAACATTACTCTGAGAGATTGAAATTACCCTAGAATCGGCAGCACTGGTCAAGAATGAACACAGTACAAACTCTGAAAGTGTTTGCAATGCACCCAGTGACAAGTTATAACCTATCCTTCATATTCTGGTTGCATCAGGTAACGTTCAGAACGTGTTATGGCTTTTCTTAATCAACACAATGCGTAGTGGTCAAATATCATGAAAGCCACGATGCAAATTTCGCTTTTACAGACATCCACAACATGAATTTTGCTTTGTAGCCATTTTGAAATCACCACAACGCATTGTGGTCGTTTTTTCGCTCAATGAGCGATTTCAGTCTTTGTGACTAATATATATATAATATATATAAACATATAGTAGAACTTGGACAATTTGAAGTTGAAGGTTCCACAAAAAAGTTCAAATTAGGCAAGTTTGAATATTGGCATTAAAAATAGGTAAATAAAATATAATACTGAAACAGTAAACTAAAGTTATTTTAGTATTCATTATAATTAAATTACAGTACAAAAATAATAGTACAGGGTATTGTATTACATTATAGTTTTTAAATGTTATATATGGTACTTTTGTCATTACACTTTTTTTAAAGCTCAAAATTTTGAACAGTTGAACTGACTGTTGATTTTGTACTGAGAATGGATGGATTTGGACAGAGGCATAATGAAAAATAAAAAAAGCATATAGTGCAGTATGTTTAGTGTATATGTACAGTACATTTGTAGACATAAGAATATGTACAGAAAATTGCATCATAGCACAATTAAACCACACACAAGTCCAATCGTAAATACTGCCCAATTTATTTTGATGTTCCGAAAACAGTATTGTATTATCTTTTTATAGATAATGTATATACCAGGGGTGGGGAAGCAAGCATTCAGTGGGAGCTGAAATGTGGATTTTGTAAAATGCATGGGAGCCACAGTTCTGTACTTTTTTATTCTGTACTGCAATTTTATTATATAATATAAATATAATATAAAACAAATATTGAATTTTTTTAATAAACATATTTTCACAAAATAATAATAAAAAGCAGAAACTAACACTTTCAGCAAGAGCCGCATGTAACTCAAAAAGAGCCGCATTTGCCCACGTTTGGTATATACATTACTATATTTAAACATGCTAAGAAGTTTACCTGGTGAAAAAAACATGTGTGTTAAAACTGCCATACCTGTACTTACTGGCCTTTGGAATAAAAACTAATTACGTAAATGGAATCTTCAGGTATATATTTCCCACATTATGTGGTTTACTCTCATTCTCAATTTCTCTGTCCTTAAAGCTAAAAGTAAGTTTTTAAGTAAGTTGAAGCTAAGAAACATGCTGAATACTATACTCTGCTAATTTCGTAATCAATGCTACCAATATTAGTGCTTAAACAGACATTTTATCTCATTATCTCAATATTGCAGGTGATTTTTCATAAACTTCTCACAATTTTACTTCAAATTAACCATGTTCTACTACTTTATATATATATGCTTTTTATGTTTTTAAAATACAATTTTTGATATATACCATTACATACAGTAGAACCTCATTAAGTCAAAGTTTAAGGGGGTAAAAGGGGTTTAATACTTGTTTTTCTCAAATTTTTTATGGCTGTAAATTTTCTATTATCAAGCTTTTTCTCAAGAACCTGTTCATGAAAATGGGTTGCACTGAATAGTACCAAAATCACCATTTGGTGATATTTTTATTAAAGTGGCAATAAATACTGGTGGTAAAATACCTAGTCCACTTTGATATTCAGCATGAAATTGAATCACAAAGCATGCTTTGGAAAAAAACAGCAGAATATTGCATTCCTGTGTGATTGGATGCCTGTGTAACATACACTTAGCAACGCCATGATGTTAAACAGCTAGTTCAGACAGGAAAGCAGGAAGTGACGTTGAAAAGCGAAGGCAGTTTTCAAAGAATGCCACCCAATGTTTCCAGATTGGAAAGTTTTTTTATTGACTGACAAAAGTTTGGGAAATTTTGTGGGGTGACATTTTTTTCATTTTGATCTTATTTCATTAGACTAAAGCATAAATATTTTGATATGACAGAATTTGTAAAATACTGTTTAAGCATTGTGATCAAATGTGTTATTCAGAATTATTCATTAAAAAAAATTATTAAAAAATTCAACAATGAGTTGCTTAACTTTCCTGGCAACATTGAAAATTTTGGCGGTGCCATCTATTATGATATTTTATTTTAAAAACTTTTATATTTTTTATTATTACAAAATGGAAAAAGTTTAATTTTGAGGGTAGGGATGGGTTTTATAAAAAGAATTGTAAATGCTAATAACAAGTAAACTCATCATTAAGTCCAACTCTACTTGAGATATGACATATGATCCCCTTTATATCTCCACCCTGTCGACCTTTAACTTCCAAAATTTAACAGCATCAATCCCCCTAATACACAAACTTCTCTGCAATTCCTAATTTCAGAAATTTTTGACAAAAAACACAGGAGTTAAGCTTCAAAGGGGGTAAACAAAATTATGTCACTCATGCACATGCGCACACAAACAAACATTCATACATACAGGGAAAAATCCCCCAAATATTTTTGCGCCATACTCCTCCCTGTTATATATGTTATAACAGAGCTCGAAAAGTAAAAATGATTCCTATTTATAAGTGACAGCTTACCATGTCACATTTGCTTTCCAGACTCAAAACTGATAAGACTATCAGCACCTGCATTAATAAGTAAATAAATCTGGTGGCAAGAAATAATTTAAAGTGGCCAAAACATTTAAAACTGGCAAAATGGTTGGCAATTTTTAAAAATTTTTCTGAGCAATCCCTCCAGAATGATTACAGAATTGTATATAATTATGGTGCACTGTCAAGATTTCCTCTTGTGTCCCAATCCAAACACCAGTTACATATATCAGTAAAAGAATGTTGACATGAGGTTGTAATGGCATGACGTTGTGTTCAGCATGGAGCCATAGTGTTTGTTTATCTTAATTGCCTATATTCATAAGGAAAATAAGTAAAGATGGAGATCATGGACTTACCAAAGGGTGGAAGAGTACTGTACAGTACATGGGGAAAATATGTTCAAGTTATAAGTACAGTAGAGCATCGATTATCTGACTCAATTGGGGACTGGGGTTGGTCGGATAACTGAAAAAACGGATAACTGAAAAGTATGAAAAAATACATTATTAGTATAGTATATTAGTATATCCCATGTAATTAGTATATTATTATATCGTTATTAACCTACTTCACGTTGAATTTTCATCGATGTTAAGCCTAACAAATTTTTTTAAAAATAATAATCGTCGCTATTGTATCGTTAAAAATTATTTTTAAATTATTTTATTGCTCACAAAACAAACAACCACTCATAATTAGAAAATTAAGTCTCGTTTAAATACTGGCCTCCCTTCAATGGTCGAGCCATGTTGCCAGCTAAAACACACAAAAATTTAACAAAAATAATATTAAAGTGCCGAGACATAGCCAAATATTGTAGTGCCACATCACTAATTTGAAATTTGCCGACTAGAACGGTCGGTTAACCGATGTGATGGTTGATTGGGGATCGGATAATTGATGCTCTACTGTACCAACAATTTTGACTTAACAAGACCATATTATATAGTAAAACCTATAACAAGAATGGGCAGCCCTTAGCAAACCAAGAATTTTCTTCTATCACACAACTCAGGGCTCACCTTAGATAAATATCCAATATTTTTACTGAGTTTAAATTAATAGAATACAATTTTATTAAGTAGAGTAATATTAAATAAAAATATAATAAAGAAATAAACACTGTCAACTGTTATAGTAAATAGTAATAAAAGGAAACAAATATCCTACTTCTGTAATATACTGACAAACAGAAAATCCACTAAATCTAGCTTTCTTATAGCATCATCTAGTCACTAAGCCAAATAATAATAGGCTTCCAAAAATTTCAGTTGGCATGTGAGAAAATTTTGCATCATAGATTTGGCAATTTTGGCACACTTAGAAAGGTTGCCCATCCCTGATCTACATCTTGTACTCAGGACGTGTAGACAGCTTTAAGTTAATGCAGTTCAACTTAGTGAGGTTTTACTGTGTATATAATGATATACATCAGATTGTCTCAAAAGTTTGCATGCTTTCATTTATTTTGTCAATAGTAGTATAACAAAGCAATGATATTAAAGAATAAAAGTCAGATATGTCTTTGTTGGAATAAAGTCAGATATGTCTTTTATTCCAACAATAAAATTCTTAATAAAAAAAAAGACCATCATACTCTATTGCAGGAGCAGAAAATCATGACCTAAAGTTGGCCTGCAGGCCAACTTTGGGTCATTAATGTGTATAATTTAGTCCACGATTCTTTTTATATAATATACAGTATATAACAAACAAAATATATTGAATGAATTTGAATTTTGTTTTTCCTATAAATAAAATCAGTTGTGTACAATTATTTGAAAATATTACAATAAATATAAAACTGTTTATGATAATTTTTCATTCTTATGCCATTTTAATAATTCTAAAAAAAATCTTAAAAATCACGGAAAGATAAAAAAAAAGGTTTGGCCTAAGTTACTTTAGAGATATTTTATTTGGTTTACTGTTTTAAGAAAGTTTTCCACCCCTAATCTGTGGAGTATTGGATTGTAAAATTTATTTTGAACTATTCAAAAACAATAAAAGCATTAATTTAATAAGTAATGCTGCCACTGAATAATTCTAAGTCAAGCTAATTCTTTCCAAAATAAATAGTATCATTTTGATATTTTTAGTACAGGAGTGTCCCAGAAACTCAGCTCTAGATAACTTGGCATTTTGTTAAACTTATGTCATGTTCAGTAACTCATCACCTTCTCAGTTAATATGAACTGAGAAGGTGATGAGTTTTAGACATAACAATGCTTCTAGTCTAAATAATGGAATTTTCATAAAGGTATTAGATGTGCAAATTCATATATGTATTAACTATGTACCAACAGTAACTATTTCTATTTGTAGTTAAATTTTAATTAAAATAAAACATTGACTATTCAGTGGCTACTTTTGAGTTAGTGATATTCGTAGTGACATGAACAAGTTTTACAAAATGTCCATTTGTCGAGAGTTGAGTTTCCAGACTTTACTATAGTTATTAAATTTTGTATATGTCTCATCTGTTATGAAACTGCATGATGTCTTAAAGATTTTATTAGGCACAGTTCATTTTCTGTCTGAACATGAACTAAGAATTGAGTTGAAGCACTAGCAAGAATTGACTTGAATATAAAATAAAGAATAAAAAAAATTGCACATACTTATGCTAGTGACCTTGCATATTGTCACTTTGACACCAGAATATCGTGAAAATGAAATCATGGATCACTGATTTTTATTTTTATTTCCTCATCTCATATTATGTAAAATGACAAAATTTAATCAAATTTTGAGAATTAACTCAATTTTATAAGCCACATAAAAAGAGGCTTCACTAACACCCACCTCAATGATTTGCACAATTTCAAATTTTATAATTTAATGCTAGCTTATACTCTTAAAGATATGGGTTTTACTAAAGTTAACAAACCATTTTTAAACATCTTACAATAACTTTTTATAATAAATTTAAATTTAATTATTTATTGGCACAATTTCTCATATAAACATAAAAAAAAATTATTCTTAATTTAAATATTTCAATTTGTGATAATTGGTAATTGAAATTATATTAAATATAATTTATTTTAATATTTTTATAATCTATAGAGTCTGAATTCAAGAATGAATTAAATAATGAAATAAAATCATCAAATGACAATCAGAAAAATTTAATCAAATTGTAAGTAATGTTTTAAATCAAAATATAGATTTTTTTATTTATTTTTCTAACAGATTTCATTCTTTTATAGAAAAAATTCAGATAAAAATAAACATTCTTTTCATTCAAAATGCAGTAGTAAAATTCCTAAATTACAGAAAAATATTAAATGTCTTCATCACAATAATGTAGAAGAAAAACAGTCTCATGGTATTCATGATATAAATATCATTAAAAATGCACATGTAACTTTAAAAATAAATATACAACAGAAAAATTCAAAAAATTTGAACGACCCTATCATTAAAATTAAAGATCCTTTAAATTCAAAAGTCATTTTGAAAAAGAATAAAGAAAATCAGATAAAATGTTCTATAATTCAAAACAGAAATGTATTACAAACTAAAAATCAAAGTCTGACAAAGAGGCCTATAGAAAAAAATATTTTAAGAAATAAAAATGCACAGATTATTAACAAAGAAAATCTTACTGGAAAATCTGTGCAACAAAATGTCATGAAGAAAGAAATGATAAAAAATACCAGAAAACAAAATCTTTCAAATAAATCCAAGCTACAGAATGCTGCTGTGAAGAATTTACAAAGTACTAAATTGAATATAATAATAAACTCTACACAGCAAAACATTTCAGAGAGAAAATTTTTACAAAATAATGATCAAAAAAATTTTGGAAAGAATCATATACAACAGAATAACACAAACAAAAAAATTGTGCAAAGGAAAAATCAGGAAAATGTGATAAAGAAGAATATCCAAGCTGTCTCAAGACAGAAAGTTGAACAAAAAGATAACCAAGGAAGTTTAGGAAAAATGCATACACTGCAAAATTCCAATAAGTTAGAAAAAAATGTTGCAAAAACTAAAATGAAGACAAATGAGGAAAGTAATGTAAGAAGCTTAAGTAATTTACAAAAGACTAAAGCTTCAAATTATCCAAAAAGATCTAAAATAAATACTCCTGAATGTTTGAAGTAAGTATGATATTTATATTTTTTATAAAATGTAATGTTTATTCTTCTATATATAAGATGTCCCATGTAAAGTGTTACAAGCTAATAACTAGTGATGCCACGAATAGTGATTTTGCCGAATACCGAACATTCGGCTACGCTCTTGGCCGAAGCGCCGAATATTCGGCGGCCGAATGTTCGGCAAAATATGTCTACATTTTGCAGGTGATATGTTACGACCTGATACATTACGGTGGGTGCGGTGGCGACACTGCGGGCACATTTGTTTTATTTGCGAGTAGATCATGTCACAACATGCATTATTTGTTCATTGTTACATCAAATTGCGTTACTAATTATTACTAAAAAATATCACTGTATCACTTTATATGAAAACTGTTCGCCTAGATCAGACGGCAGACCTTTACAAGTGGTGGTCAGCAAACGCAAAACAGTATCCAAGCCTGACAGAATTCGCTAAGATTTATCTATCGTCTCCCAGCAGTAGTGTATATAGTGAGAGGCTATTTTCAGAAGCAGGTATAGTTTATGAGGAAAAGCGCAATCGTTTGCTATCAACAAATGCTGAAAAAATTGTTTTCATTCATTACAACTTACCACTGATAGATTTTAAGTATTAAATGTAATAATTTGTGATTAAAATAAATACGTTTTTGAGTAATATGTGCGTTTTTTTTTTTTTTTCATGATTTGGTATTCGGTATTCGGCCGAATGTTGCGTACTATTCGGCCGAATACCGAATATTAAAAAAAGTAGCCGAATAGGCCGAATACCGAATAGTAGCCGAATATTCGTGGCATCTCTACTAATAACTCAAGAACAACTTGACTGATGCCAACTCTTTTTCATTTTTTTTTATGGTTTTAAAGAACTTGTAACAATGATGAAATTGTATTGTTCCTTGCACTCTTTCATAGGAAAACAGGAAGCTTTGAAATTCTAAATGGAATCCTAGAGAAAAGTGTGTATTGTATTTACTCACTTATAAGACAATCTCGCATATAGGACAAGGTGTGACTTTAAAGATCAAAATAAAGAAAATTAGATTTATTAATACAATTTAATTTTATTTCATTTAATCACAAATAAAATGTCAAATGCACACATTGTCCCACAAAAATTACTGGCATTGTACTGGCATTAAACTTCTTGTAAAATTGACAACATAATTTTTGTTCATGTGAAGCTGGACAATCGGGAACCAACTTTTTTTTGTCAATTCTTAACATCGAATTCACTCTCTATCGATTACACTTATGAGTTTCTCTGAATTCTGATTTCTGAATAACAATCTGTTTTCACATGGGAATGGATTAAAACTTATACACGGTTCACAAAAATTGCGAAAATGCAAAGAATCCTTCGCTTGTGCGTATAGGACGACCTAGATTTTTGAAGCAATGAAAAATGAATAAAAACCTCCTCATCTTATATATGAGTAAACATGGTATTTTTGGATTGTACAGTGAAGAAAAGAGAAGAAACTTTCATCTAAAACAATATTTAATAATGTATTTCAAATTCTTCAGTCCTCTCTTATTGTGTAACTGACTATAAAAGATGTACCACTAAATTGAGAAGAGAAAGTGTGGTGTCAGGGAGATGGTAATCTACCATATTTTGCCACAGATATATATACACTATTATTAAACCAAGAATTTGGTGACAGATGTATCTTGGAGGACTTGTTTGATGGCTTTTTTGTTTATCTGATTTCACACAATTATTTTTATGATGATATGTCAAGGAAAATAGTAGCTTCTCTCACAATAGATGATATTCCTACCATCTACTATGAGAGAAGATATGAAACAGAGAACATGTTAGTCTGAACTACAGTGATCACTGAAATGTTGTGCAGAGTTAGTTTTGTAAAAATGAAAAAAATTAATTAAATGTTTATAATTGAATAATTAGCAATTTGAGCACTTAAAAAAATAAACAGACAAAATAGTGTAATTTTGCATTGTTGTCAGTTATATCTGGTCAACAGTTTGAATCAATTCAGAGCTTCAGCTGTCTATAACTTTTAATAGATACATTATAAAAAATGCTTTAGATGAAAGTTTCTTTTTTTTTTCCATAGAATTCAAAACTATACATTTTAGGGTTCCATTTGAAATTTTAAAGTTGCTCACTGTCTCACTATAAAAAGGGCAAAAAGCAACATTATTTTATTATTATTACAAAGCTTTTTACAACATAATTTGAAACCATACACTAAAAAATGAAAAAAATATGATTTGCATTGGTCAAGTTGTTCTTGAGTTATTAGCTTGTAACATTTTACATGCAACATCCTGCAGACATAGATATAGTAGATCAATTATAAAAATTTTGAAATAAAATTTCTTAAAACTTAATTTAAGTATCAAAACATAAATAGTTTGCTAAATATTTTATATTAGCTGTAACTTATCTAAAAATGATTGGAGAAGAAATGAAACTTATCAATTTTAAATTGGTTCATAGGATTAGAAGTAACTATTGGGTTGTTCAGAAAGTAATTTCGTTTTTTTTTTTCTGTGGAAAAAACACAATATTTTTATAATAAATAAATATTTTATTGAATTATATATCAACCATTTTGGTCAAATACCTGTTGTCATCGTTTCTGGTAGTACATGATTTCACATTCATAAAAGATTTGATCGTTGCTTACAAAAAACTGATCCAAGTGATTTTTGACATTGTCATTTCAATTAAATGTCTTACAGTTAAAAAAATTTGTATGACCGGAACAAGTAATAATCTGAGTGTGCTCGATCTGGCGAATATGGTTGGTGTGATAGAACATCCCATCTAAGTTATGAGAGTTGCTGACAAGTTACCAAATTTGTGTGAAATTTGACATTATCACGGTAAAACACTACACCTGTTTTGTTGATCAATTCTGGCCGCCTTTTCTGTTTGATGATATTATTCAATTTGTTTACTCGATGGCAGTACACTTTCGAATCAATTGTTAAATTGTCTGGTAAAAGCGCCAAAAAAAAAATTTCTTAAAATTCCACCAAAGAGAGCATCTCTCTTTAAGAACATGTGGAATCCATATATCAAGCTTTGAAATGAAACCAATTTGTTTCAAGTAATCATAAACAGTTCAATTTGACAAATTTAATCTCTTAGTGATTTCATGTGTTGTTATTTGGCAGTTTGCTTCAATCAGTACCTTTATTTTGTTTTCATTGGCTTCAACTGGCCATCCAGAATGTGGTGCATCTTCAATATTGAAATTGCCAGAACGAAATTTTGTAAACCAGTTTTGGCACTGTCGTTCTGTCAATACATCTTCCTCATACACGTCACACAATTTTTTTCTCGCTTGAACAGCATTCTTACCTTTTTGGTAATAAAAGAGCAAAATATGCTGAAAATGCTGCTTTCAGTCTTCCATATTTGATGGGGCATGAAAAATAAACAATTGCACAAAATCAAACAAAATTTTTTACAAATAAGCCTTAAAATGCTAGCTGTCAAAATATATAATAATGATATGGTTTAGAATAAAAATTGCGGAAAAAATATGACTAATCCGTCTAGTGGTAAAAAAAACGAACTTACTTTCCAAACAACCTAATATTTTCTTGAATCACCTAAAAAAACACATCTTTGAGTACTTTTCCAGCAATGTTTTCCTTTTTTGACTGATATTTTTGGCTCCCTTGATATGCCTGTTTCAAATCTGTCAAAGACTCCTAGATTCAATGTTCTGAATTGTAATAGTAGCTTCTATAATGATGTGTTTTCTATGGATTTTAAATTTTGAAAATGATGTAATGACTAGGTTTTCTGTGACTGTGTATTTTCTTACTTCCAGAGTATTTGATGGTTTATGTTGTGACTCAATGTTTCTAATAGTAATTTTCATATGCTATAATACATTGTGGGTCCTTAGTTGAGAATTCTTATTTGGGTCATCATAAAACAATCTCAGACTGCTGATAGATTCATATTCTTTTTGGTTTATGCAAACTTCTTTTAAAGAGACTTTATATATCTCTAGGGTTTCTAAATGTCTTAGGTATTGTTCATTAAGGACTTGTTTTACCAATTTGGCATCATTCAGATTTACCACCACTCCGGCACTGTTGTATAACTGGCCAAAGCAGTTATCTTGTTATGGTGGTTGTTGTATTTGTGTTCTCAGCAGTGTGGTGGAGTTGGTAAACAAGCAGTCTGATTCTGAGTCAGCAAATTTGCAATGTGTGACTTTTCACTCCAACCTTACCCTTTTTTAAATGTCACACTATGATTCCTTTTATAAGAAAGATACCACTGAATATCTGAATATTTTTACGTAAAATTTCTCTATAAAAAGTCCTCTACAATTGATGGCGAGAATCAAAAAAATGGATATAATGAATTTTCCTTGGAAAAACTTGAGTACTGTACATAATGAAACATACTACATCTTAATAGCCAAAAGAATGTCACTTTTATTAGTTAATTATGAAAAATTGATTTAAATTTAATTATTTTCAAGAAAAAATATTAAATAAAATAAAATGCAAAAAATAATGATTTTGATGAACAACATAATAAATTGGTCCATAAAATAGTTTCTCCCACTCTGGCTACAGCGGAAATAGTTAATTTCCTACTGACATGGCGGTTGACTAAACTGAAGTATACAGTAGAATTTTAAAATATGAAATTTAAGTTATAAATAAACACTTGGCTTTATTTCCATCATTTTTAGTTGATACGTGACAACAGCACGTTTCAGGCATAAAGCTCCTCATCAGTCAACTAAAAAAATACAATTTTAAAAACATTACATAAAATATCTTACAAAACAGAATTAAAATAATGTATATTTCTTACCATATCCATTTTTAATCTGTTATACAAGGTCTTAATTGGTGCACACAACTTATTTTACAATAAGTGGAGTAATTTCATTAAAATTTGTTATAAATGATCTTTTATATATTTGACAATATCCAGGAGTCTTAGACATAATCACATACACATCTCAAAATCGAAATAGACAATT